CCTTATTTCCCTGCTGAAGACCTCATTCATTTGCATTTGTGTTTGCAAATGTTCCAACACAGCCTGGTTAAAGACATTTGATGGTAGCTAGTCCTTAGTCCTATCCCCAGCACTACAGGTGGAAGATAACTAATTTTAAAATTTTGGTAATGTAAAAAGTGTCTGTAATCCATGAAAAACTAAGTGCCAGATTGTCTGCCATAATTTCCTTCAAATTTCCTTCGGAGCTCATAGAATTAAATAGAAAGATCTTGTCTATAGCATTTCTATATTAAGTTTTTACCTTTTTTTCCCCCTATTTCTGTAGCAGGGAGATGGTTATTATATCTAAGAAGAACTAGAAATTAGGCTATGAAATTTTTTTGTAAGGTTTGTAGATTTCTGAACACCTCAGAATACAGAATCAAAATCAAAGTTTTGAAAATACCTTTTGAGTTTGAGGTACCTTTTAATACTCCTTCCTTTCTGTCAGGGGCACTTTAATAACAAAAGGTTGATTGTTGGGGGTGCAAGGCTGTGTGAAAAGGGCTGACAACTGCTCCTGTTCAATAACCTCATCTGATAAAACCATGCAGGGGGAGTAATGGCACGAGGAGCTCACTAGAAGAATGTGCAGCTGGTTTTTCTGGCTTTCCAAAATCAGACTGTAAGTGGTGCCAGGCAGTCGCTGCCTCCTGAGTTCCCTCAGACCTTTGGTGTGGATTCAGGACCTGCTTCTGCCTTTGCCTGTCAGCACTTCAGCCAGGCTGGAGCTGTGGATGTGGCTGTGAGGGCTCTGGTTCTGGGGCATGGCTGCTGCTGGATGTGAGGAACTTCTGGTTCCTCTCCAGAAGTTACACTGCAGCTACAAAACTGCTTTGGGTTATCCAAGGAATGCACTGCTCAAATTGCCGAAAACAGGGAATTAGGAGCTTCCATGTGGCACAAAACTGAAGTGAAAACCTGCACCAATGGTCATGGTATTTTGCCCAAGGGACAGTATTTATTCCATTCACACAGCATGATCCTGTTTTTAATGAGTAGGCAGAGCACTTGGCAGGTAAATGGTGTAGTCATGGACAGTATTAGCTACTGTGAAATTGAAGTCTGTGCTTGTGTGTCCAATACAAACAGTAATGCACACACGGAGTCTAGTATTCCCAGAGAAACCAGGGCTGACATTTAACAGCCCCTGGGAAAAGTGGAGGAAATTAATACAGTGGGTATGGGAGACAGAGGCTTGACACAGCAAGAATAAAGAGGCAGAGAAGAGGTGGATGACTGGATGGTGAGTCAGTGATATTTTTGTTGAGTTTATGCATTTGTTTACTTTCTGGGTGTGATATCCAAATTAAACATTAGATATACCTAAAGAATGGGTACATATACATACTGTTGAGTGTTCTCAGCTACTGGGATGCTCATGGACACACAAACACCACAAGAAACAACACTAAAAGAAGCCTATTAAGGGTTCAAGGTCAGTTGTTCAGAATTATGACAATTGGAGCAAGCTTGTTGCTTGCTTTCTTTGTGCTTCTGCCTCATAACCCAGTTTTTAATTATGCACTAACAGGTTTTTAAATTTTTTTTTCTTCTGCAGGGCACCTGCCTCAGTCAGTGCACACAATGGGCAGTGTAAGCTTTAAGAAGGTAGTAGTTTCTGATTCAACATACACCTTATTTACTGTGTGTTGTTCAGCCCCAGCTCTGAAGGAGAATTGTTGCTTAGGTTGCTGCCTGTGGAACTCATCACCATCACATCTAGATTGCTTCACATTATCTGTTTATTTTTTATCCCTCAGATGTGTATAATTCCCACAAGGAAGAAGGTGGTAAATCAGCAAAAGCCAAAAGCCATGTGTCTATTATGGCATCTTCCACTGAAAATGTCAAGTTTTTTCAGAGAGCTTAGTGTTATGCTTTTCATGGAGTGTTCAAAGCAGATTTCCATTACAGAGGAAGGTTTCTCTTCCCCGCAACCTGCACTTCAAACCTGGGTCTCTGCAACACATCCCTTACTTTTGCCAATTCTTTTAACACAACTTTTACTGGAGTCAAGATGGGCCAGTGGTCTCCTGAGGCTGATGACACCCTGCTCTCTAAAAATGAGCCAAGGAGCCATCAGTTCCATACATTCTCTTCTTCCCTGAGACTCTTTCTACAGTGCTGCCTGCCTGCCACGGATGAGATCTGAGGCTGTTCCCAAACCTGCTTCTCTCATCCTCTTAAATATGTAACTTGGCTGCCAAGTCATAGACATGCACTTGGCAGCCGGCAATAGCAACTGGAAACACAACATACACAATGCAATTGTATAAAAAAAGGGAACGAGATGGCTGCAGAGAGCAGAGCCAGAGAGGAATTTTCAGGCTGTTTTGTGATCCTTGCTTACCTGTCCATGGGCTGATTCTGTTTGCATGGATATGCCTGTAAATAGTACCCAGAAGAGAAAAGATGCAGTGTTTGAAAGGCTTTGGAAGTAAGGGAAGTTAGGGACAGGTTGCTTTATGGAAATTTTCTTTCCCCACATTGTGTAGTCCATTTGTTCTTCCACGTGGTCATGAACACCTGTGATCCTTTCAGGACTATCTTCCCTAGTTAGCAACTACTGCAAAACAGATTGATGCCATTTTTAAGAGGTGGGAGCACAGAAAATGTTCCTTCTGTCTTACTGACCTGACCTGTCTAGAAGTCTTAGATCAGGTATTTTCATCCTTTCAAAGTACACAGTAGTGCAGCAACATTTTCTTAGGTTGTAGCTGACCTGGTCTGTTGCAAGGTGTGATCCTTCCCTTGTCCCCTTGTATTTACCTGTATCTCCACTGGCCCTTGTCTGACTCCACCATGAACTGATATAAAATGCTAACTAAACAGAAAGCTTCTCATTTATTTTTGCTGGATGACTACTTTTGACAGTTTAGGGAGCCGCCTTGCTGTGGGGTCAAAGATAAAGAATCATCACACAGGTAAATTCTGGGAAAATTTTGATGGGATCAAGAATGCTTCTTCCATTAACAACTGGCTCTTAGGCTGGTTTAGCTGTAATGTGAAACCTCACCCTTGATGGAGACTTGATTTCTATTGGCAAAAAGTGCTTTTGTCAGCATAACTTGTACCAATTTTGGGTGTGAACTAAGCAATACCAGTTATATACAACACTGACCCACTGTGAATGATGTGTGAAAGATTCTTTGCTTGAAAAACCACAATATCCCAAAGATTCTAAACCTCAAAATCATGCCCTAAAGTGACCTGCCTTAGTATATGGGAATTATTTCCAGGTGCAGCTTCCAAATCTTGAGCTGACTGCTCACATAAGGACCTAGGTTGTGCCACATATTTGTGACCTGATATAGTTTGAAATCTTGTAAAGGCGAAAGCTAAAGTGCGTTTAACATTCAGAGTGCTGTCACTGCCCATAACAGAAGGACCAGCTGCCCTGACTGCTGCCAGTCCTGGGAAAACCAGGAAAATTTCTGCAGCCCCTGACCATCAATGCCACAATGAGCATAAATAAGTGGCTGTGGAGATGTTATCAAATGGAAAAAACTCATTTCCCTGTTTGGACTAAAATGCTGCCCAGGGAAGCTGCTTGGCAGAGCTGGGAGGAGCAGAGCACATTGGCCATGAGTCCTGGTGCCCAGAGCAGGCTGCAGGGGAGGAGGGTACATGCTGGGATCTGCAGCTCCTAGAGGACAGCAGATGGTCACTGCCACAAGCAGTGTCACCCCTTCACTCCTGTCGGTGTCCTGGCAGCACTGTGCCATCTGTGAGCCTCCCCATCCTGCTGCTGCTGTTCATGTTTGCCTCTGCAGCAGACCCAGGGGCCACAGGAGGCCCCACGGGAGGGCAGGACCTGTCCTGCTGCCCCAGCACAGTGGCTGGGACAGTCATTCAGCCATTTGCATTAGTGAGCAGCAGCTGGGATGCATTTTTGAAGACACAGGGTGGAATTTTCTCCTTCCTGTGGCGTGCTGGTAGGTCTTGCTATGCTGGATTACCACCTTTCCTATTTTTCTTTCATGGCTCATAATCCTTGTGTGTAACATAAAGGTACAGCATTTGCGTGGGCCTTTTCATCCGAGAGTGGCAAAACACTATTAGAAAGCTGGAACTGAAGACTAGAAGAGGCAAGCTGAAATAACCACTTTTTGTCAAAGGATTAGAGCCATGATTTCCTCATATTCATCTCTGTGGTCTAACCACTGCATGGGCTGTGGGCTGCTGACTTGAAATTATTCTGTTGTCCCATATCCAGCCTCTGCTACCAAATTAGATTGAGTAAGAATCTCTGAGAGCCTTGTGGCTGCCTGGCTGAATAGTACCTGGCAAAAAGTCACAGGAAAGCTTAAAGTTTCACTTGGTTTAAATTTGTAGGCAGAGGGATTTCAACAATAAGACTCATTTTGCTTTAAAGGTGACCTGCAAATAATAGTTAAGGGTTTGCAAGTCTCTCTTGTTAATTAAGAAAGGAGTAATAAACCTCATTTATTTCCAGGGGATATTTTTGTTTGGAATTCTTAAAAATGTACATATGCTGTAAAATGCTGTTACTAGTAGTTTTGTCCAGTGTTCCCTGAGCAGTCTATCTGATGTTTATTTAAATTTCTCAAAATATCAGGAGCATGCATAATATATGCCATCTTTTAGCAAAGGTTTCTTTTCTTCTGATACTTAGATTCTACAATTACATAAATATTATTAAAAACCCCAAAAGCAATGTGCTATTTAATGTCTGGTTTAATTCGATTTCTCAGTCTTTTCAGAATCACTGGCAATCAAGGAACTGATTCCTTTAGCAAATTTCCCATTAGTTATTCATAACCTGAAAGACAAAAAAAGAACAAACACACATTTTTCTTTCTTATATTGGCAACCTTTGAGAACTTCTGTTGGAATAACTCACACATGAACACTATCTGGGGGAAAAGCAGGCTTAAGACTGATGGAAAGTGCCCAATATGCACAGAATTTGCATTATAAATACTTGGTTGGTCTGAGAACTTGAGCACAGATTTATGACATGCACTCTATACACTGCTTCCTTGCAGAGGGTAAGACTGACTTGAGGTGTATGGTACTGAAAAGCTGATACCAACACCCTTGAAACTGGAAGGTAAAATGATGATGTTTGGTTTCAAATTATGCAGCTTTAGGCCTTGATAAATACAGCAGTTCCAAGTAAATTCAGTCTAGTATTTTTTTTACCCAAGCAGATCAACTGCAGGACAAATTCTTGCATCATGTTAATGGGGTAAAGGAGAAATACATATTTACTCCATACATCTTTCAAACTGAACTACAGGGGGACAGCTGAAATTGTGTGTTGTGGGTCAGAAATGTGCCCCACGCCCTGGGGAAGCTGTGCTGGATGTGAGGGCCAAATGCCACCCCAGGTGTCCCCAGGTGGAGGCCCATGGAGTGACGTTCCCTGTGTGTGTGTGACTCTGCAATGGTGGGCACTGGGGGACTGCAGACCTTTAGGGAAACCACAACTCTGCAGGAGAAAAACTGCACCTAACTCTGCTTTGAATGTCTGTGGCAGATATGGATTAGGGCATTATCAGGCCTTTTAAACCATTAGCAGGAAAAAAACCCCCAAAACCTAAAAGCACCCAAACTATCCCCCCCCTGCTCTTTTCTCAGCCAGTGGAGTGTGGCAGCAGTGGGTCACCCATGCTGCTGCCTCCTGCCCTGCTGGGCATTTTCCAAGCTTTTGTCTGGCTGGAGCCAGGCTGCTCCCCTCTGTGCTGGTCACACAGCCACAGCAGACACCTTTCATGGGCTGTGTCTCACTCAGCAGCTTCAGCCACCTTTTCCACTGGGGTTGGGAACGCTGCTGACACTGCCAGCAGCTCTCCAGGGAGAGGCGTGGGCTCTGTGGTGACCTCTGCCTGAGCTTCCCTCAGTGATCCCAAGGAAGAGCTCTGGAATGGGACAGTTTGCATCTGAAATCTTCCTAAAGCCACTTGAGACAGTTCTGGAAGGGTTTATGTGTCACAGGGCATGTGGGGCAGGAGGCAGAGCAAGAGAGCCCCCAGAAGCCCCTTTGTTCTTTGCTTCTGTATTCTTGAAAGCAACATCTCACAATGGCCTCACCACAACCCAAATATTTTCTTAGTGTCAGCTAGAGGTCAAAATCTTAATGTTCAAAATCTTAATGTTCTGGGATGTTGACCTCTTCGTACTGCTGCTAGTAATTTAAAATCATACTGCTGCATGCTCATACTCTGTATTTCAGCTCCAATCTAGCAGCTGAAGAAAACCTCAAGGAAGGAAAAAATGCTCTCTTTCAGGAAATGCATGTTAAGACATTAAAGAGGTATTTCAATTGGACTAGCCTAGCTCAAAAAGAAACAAGATCATCTGGGTGGGAATATTTTCACCCATTGTCTGAGGATCATGTCTGAACAAAGCACATGAAGCAGGAAGCCAGCTGTCATTTTAACAGGGTGGATGAGTGGTCTGAACACAAAAACAGAGCCAGACATGCCTGGTGTTGAATGCTAGCTCAGGCTCAGCCTGGTCTGACTTTGGTAAAGTCATTCAGCATCTTTGTTGCTGTTTCCAGATCGCTCACAATGAGGTAATAATTCTCATCTACTCCAAAGAGTATTGTGAGGTAATTAATTCACCTGTGTAAGGCACTTCAAAGATTAAATTATTATTATTGTTATTAATTTTATAAATTCCCAACATGGTATAGCTGACTTTCATCCATTACTTAAAACCTCTTTGATCTATATAATACAGTTGCAACTTATTATATTAGCAACTAAAAGAGCAACTTCAGTTGCAACCTTAGAGGTGAAATATCCTGTTTCTCTCAACATCCCCAGCCTGATTTGTAGCTCTAACAGCTGAAAGTTAGTTCAGGATACCTGCCAAGCACATTTCACTGCTTGTCCCTTTGAAACTGAGTGCAATGAAGAGAACATGGGCCAGGCAGACAATATTCTCAGACTGGAATGAGTACTGTGTCCTTGAATGTTATATATTGGTCAACCACCAGCATCTTCCAAGAGGATTGCAGTGCCATGCTCCCTGACAGAAGGCTGGCTGACAAAGGAGGAAAATTGCATAGGCTGTCCAAGTGAGCACAACATGAATATGTGACGTGGGATGATGTAAAATGTGAGTAACTGCAGGTATTTCACATCAGCAAGGCATTGCCTCTACAACTTAGAAAGCTGTTTCTGCTGACACTAGCAATTTTTTTTAGGAAATACTGTTTTTCTCCTCTGTATGCTTTCAGATGCTGCTCTGCTTTTGAAAGAAGTGAATGACTCACATCACATTACCTTTTGTAGCTGGTATGAGGTATGTCATGTAGAGTTTCTTTCAATAATTTTGTGTGTAGCTGGATGTGGAGGGACTGCTTTTCTGATTGAGAAGCAGAATAGGAAATATCAAAGGTTTAAAATCTCTCAGCTGTGCGGTTCAGTGGAAAACAATACTGAATTCATGTTGTCTTGAACACGTGCAAAGAAATAATTCTATCACCTGCTTGGAAGCTTTCTATCCTGTTACCTAAAGGAAAGTGAAATGCAAAAAATAAATATGTTTCTTGGAAATTGCTCTGGTAATACCCAGTTCAATCCACTCTTCAGCATGTCAGTAGTTCTCTAAAAATCTTCAAAGTCTTAGTGTGGGGTGGAGTGCTTGCTACCAGTAGGGCTCAGCCATTTTGCTAATATTTGGTATAATGCAGCCCTTGAGCAGAGACTTTGTTCTTTCTCATAATGGTCTGGTGGTGTCTCTATCTGCAGATCTGGAAACTTCACAGTGACCATTCCACCTTCTACTTAGGAATGAGAAACTAGATGAGTTCCTCATGGCCCTGCTCTTCTACCTACCTTTTCACCTGGGAAAAATTGCCCTGGAATTACCTGGAAAAGGAATGCAGATCCTTGATTTTGTGAGTACATTAGGGGTATAAGTACACAGAGCTTGCCTCAGCAAATCTGGAACCATAGATCAGTCTTTTGGGTAAGAAGCAGTGGGATTCTGCTTGTGAGCAGGAGCTGCTTGCTATATTGGATATATGGGATACTAAAAAACCCCCTCGTTCTCATATTTTACGTCTCCCATCTCCCTGTCCTCTGTGCTCTCCAGGGCATAGGCTCATCTGCCTGGGGAGAGGCAGATTTTCTGTCAGAGTTTGAACCCTTCTTTGCCTCAGCCCTTCCCTGAGTGGTGAGCTCTGTTGTCCATGTGCCACAGCATCACCAAAATCTCCTGCTCAGGGTGGTGGCAGGGTCCGGTCCTGCTGCAATGGGGCCAGCAAATAATCTGGGTCCACAAGGTGATTTGAATAAATAATTTCTACTACCACTGATGTTAAATCTGTGTGAGCCCCCTGGACCAAATGGTCACCTCTTAATGCCCTTTCTCAGGATTAACATTAGCATCCAGATATTTCTGCCTGCAAAACAGAGCAGCAAATAGTCACAACTGAGTCTGCTGTGAGTTAATTTGTGCTGTGGGTGACATTGCTTTAAGACTTCATTTCTAAATACTTTGCAAAGCAGGTTCTGATGACTCTTAGGTGCTAGAAACATGTTACAGCATGAGGAATAAGTGCTAGGAAAGCAGTTCCCAAGTTAGGGTGTGTGACCACATTTGCTGCCTTGCAGAGTGGAAGTGGGATGTCAGAGGAACAGATCAGGAGCTGCTGTGTTAGAGGGTTATGTGCCTTGGGAGAAAGCACTGCAGAATTACAAGCTGTGATTTTATCAAACTTCTGTGATTTTCTGGAGTCTAATAGTTTCTGAAATTGGTTCCCCATTCTCTTAAAGCACTTAATGATTACCTGCTTCACAGTTCATGAAGCATGATATAAAGGCAGGCAGATTTATCTGGATTGAAGGATAGAGTGTTGGAGGATTGGTGTCCCTAAGGAATTGATTTGTTCTACATCCATAGATTTACAGATATTTATTTCATTGCCCAAGGAACAATTTATAAATAAAGAAAACCATCAGCACAGTTCAGTACACAAAGGCCATAGACTCAGCTGAGGTGCTCTGGGCTGCAGTTCACAAAAAGATTTACTTGCTCTTGGCTGGTAAAGGACAAGGAGGCCACGCCATGGGTCAGGAGACCTCACTCTGTCATTGACTGGTGTGGCAAATGCAGCAAGAGACTGAAACAAAGGGGAGTTCAGACCTATTGCAATATGGGGTTGTGTTTCCTGGATCAAGGGACCTCTGGTTAGTGGGGATCAGCAATAAGCTACTGGATAAACCCTGCCAGACGAGACTTTTTAGTGCATTGTGCCATGCAGTGCTCTCAAAGTGAGTCCTGCCTATTGGTGGGAAACATACACTGAGTACTGTCCTTCTCTACAACAGGGCTTTATTTAGATTCATTACCATCCCTGAAGGGAAGTGCTTGCTTATTAGGATTATCTGAATGAAGTGTTAAGAGAAGATTAAAGAATATGCACTCATCATGCAGAAGCAGGAATTCAGGATATTGATCTATTGAATTATAAATACCAGTAAGGAAAATAAAATTACAAAAGGCAATTTTAGGTTCTATTTAATGTTGAAGTTCAACCTTAATTATTTTAGTGTCTTAGTTGAATTGGAGAAGCAGGTGGATGTTAGTCATGCTGTGAAGAGCTTTCTGGTATTACATCTTCTTTAACTATTCAAGACCTCCGATTTCTTCTTGTCCACACAGTCTAATTACAAACTTATATGTGCTATATTTCAAATCAAATGTGCCAAGGACTGTCCTTCCCCATTGTAAAATTCTGGAATGATCTTCCACTAGAAAGTAGTGGGGACAAGCCAGAAAACGACTTTGTTTCTGAAGGTGGAGTTCTGAGAGCTTGCGAAAGCGATTTCATAACTACAGAACTGAATTGGAATGACATAAAGTTACACTTGTGATAAGAATCCTTGGGTTTGTGATATGCTGATGTATTTGGGCAAATGTGAAAGAAGATTGCATAGTCATTTGTTTTCCTGTATCTATCCCACATAAATCCCATGCTCAGGGCTGCTGCTAGTGGCCTGCTCAGGGAGAAAACTCCTCCCCCTTCCTCCAAGATATAATTTAATTTCAGAGGCTCTTTTGCTTTCCTGCGTAGTGCTGGCAATGCGCCACAAGGAGAGACAGACTGGAGGCAAGACATGCCAGTGCCACTTCAGGTTCCTCCTTAGTGTTGCCTGTAATTTGCTCCCAGTTAAACCAACAGACAGATTACTTGGAGACAGGGCTTGGTGACCCACCTAGCCATTTATCAGCCTAGGACAGGCACATCCAGCGCTGTGCAGTCCTCCAGCAGCTCTTCTTGCAGGCCCAGTGAGATAACCTAACAAGACAGAAAACAAAGCTGGCCATTCCTGCTCCTCGTAGGTGTGTTTGGGGGTTCCTGCCTTTGGGCTGCCTATTTGAGAGGCTTAACTCATCTGAGGGTCTAATTTTGTCCATAATGAGCCAGACTTGATGGTCTGAATAGCTTCTCAGCTGTCTTGAACCTAAACCACTGATACTTGTAGAAGTATCAGCATCCACAGTTCCTCAAGGGAGCCCTACGACCATCCAGGCTTCAGAATTCATTGCTTCTGTGCATTAAACTGTCTTTGGAAAACAAAGTATTGAAGGGGGTCCTGTCAGAGAAAGTCAGGATGAGTCTGGACATCTTCTTCTTCTTGTGACATCCTTTGTTGATGCCCTGCTGATTCTTTGGAAATCCAAGCATGAATTCATGTTTGGTTGTTTTGTTTTTTTTCCTAGTTTCAGGAAGATCTTGTAAAATAGCATTAAAAACAACTAACCAGTTTTCCAAAGCAGTGAGCATGAGGCATTTCCCCACTGGAGACAGCTTGGGAGGATTCATCTCTGAAATATGTGACTCTAAGAACAAAAACTCACCAGCAGTGGATGAGACATGAATGGAACAAGAGCTATTATTTCTGTCCTGCATTTTCTTTCTCCTTTAGTTTCTGGTTCTGCTTCCAACCCTTTCATGTCTTTTGGGGGAAATCTGCTGAATTTTATTAGCAATTATCCTCGAGAAGCCCAGAGTAATTGTTTCAATTTATTAAGGAAGGGTTGGGTAGGAAGCTTTAGAGCTGGAGCCCATCAAGGAAGGGCAGATTTAACCAACCCTCCCGCGTGTGAGAAGAGGCTGGAAGCTTTTAGGCCAGCAGCACTCCCAGGAACTGGCAGACAGTCAGGTGGATTACAGGGGAAGCAGAGGAAACAGAAAGCTCTTTGCTTTGGAATTTCCTCAGTGTTTGATGTGAATTGGTTTAAAATACAGGCTTGCAGCGTGTGCCGGTGCTGTTCGGAGGCGGTCCCGAAGGCTGCGGGCCTGTTTGAAGAGCAGTAAGTGGTGACTCGGGAGGGCCAGGCCCGCAGCTCGGGGCGGCCTGACAGAGCCGGCCCGGGGATCCCTGCCCCCAGGGCTGCCGTGCTGCCTGCAGGAAGGGCTCCTGAGCTCTGCAGGATCAAAGACAGCAGCCTGGCTGCAGCTCATGTGTTGTGTGGGGCAGGAAAGACTGTCTGGGCCCTGTGGCCCCAGCAGCACTGTCCAGCTGCTCTGGAAGCATCTGAGCCGTGCTCCAGAGGGATCCCTTCGTGCTGGTGTCAGCCAGCACCTTGGTTTGGGTGCCTAAAATCCACACTAACTCCTCAGGAACAGTCACTCTTTCTGCATCCCTATTGTCCAGAGCCTCTTCCCTGAAAATATTGTTGTCTTTTTGTTTTAAAAAGGACTGTGATATTTTAGAGAAGATGTGTTGGTGAAGTTAGGGGTGTCCAGGGCCTACCTTGCCAAGGTGTGCTGCATCCTCATCCTCACAGCAGCACCACATGCTCAGTACAAAGCAAGCCAGTCCCTTCTGGGGACCCTGTCAGGGGTCAAGTTCTCTGTTGTATGACACAAGTGAATGCCCAGGACAATAAATGTCTTGTGAGCCAAGGAGTCACAGAGACCTATGGGATCATGAGACAGAGAAGTGTCCTGATCTTCCTGCAATAGTCTCATCTGATAACCAATTCCACAAGTGTTTCTGGTGAGCTGCTGACAACTGATTTGGCCACAATGGATTGTAGCAGAGCTCTGGATATCAGACTGGAGAGATGTAGCTCTGGTATTCAGAAGTGCATGGAGCAGAAAACTTTAATGGACTCAACATGAAAGTCAGCAGGGCAAAAATCAGAGCAGCCCTGAATCGTACCCCTGCCTCTTCCACTTAATCTTGGAAGCAAATCATTGGGTGCCTGCTGGTTGCCATTTATGCCTGCATAAATTTTCTCTTCTGCCACGTCTGAGATAGCATAAAGACAAGTCTAGCAAGGGAGGGAGACAATGTACCTGAAGGGCAGCAAGTGCAGGGAGGAGAGGTAAGAAGGGGCTGAGCTTGGGCATTAGAAGGGTAGGATCCCCCCTCTGAGTGGGGAAGGTGGTGCATGGCTATTTCAGAGTGGTGGAGACCAACCAGGCTTCAGCAGTGATGGTCCCAGCCATGGGCTGAAAGGGAGACAAACTGATAGTGAGATTTAAGAAAGAACCAGAAGGCAGAAGAGGATGAGAGGATGTTTGAAAAGGCAGAGAAGCCAAGGGAATGATGAGGACAAGAGAAAGGGGATTTTTAACAGGTGATGAGCGTGGTGTGGTTTAACCCTGGCCAGCAACTAAACACCACAAAAAATGGTTAATGGAAGGAAAATGTAATGACAGGGAGATCATACACTGTACTAGTGTTAGGGACTCTTTCCTCAGCCATGCATGCCCTCACACAGTGTTTCCTTTCCCTGGCAATACAAAGGAGCAGTCCCCACACAGCACTCCAGTCCCTTGGGATCCTTTCAGAGTAGTTTCATGAAAACTTTCAGTCAGCTGGTGTGAAACTGCTGCCAGTCCCCCAGAGGAGTCACGAACATGCACCAGCCTTCCTGCAGCACTGCTCCAGGCAGCCTTGCTCCTGGCTGGGTGGGGGAACCTGGTTTTTTTGTAATCAAGAAGAGAAGGTAACCCATGAAAGGATGGAGTCAAAGCCCAACAGGGCTGCTGTCCCAAGAGGGTTTCCATTATAGTGTGTCCCATACCAAAAGGTGCTGGACACAGAATAAAAACGTGTTTCCCCTGGATCCTGACACAGCAGCTCTTCACCAGGCACTGGGGGAGCAGCCTTCTCTGCCAAATTCTTGCTTCCAAATCCTGATAAGCAGACTCAACTTCCTCTCTGGTTGGACAGGGAGGGTCACAACAGCATTTCATTACTTATTGGGTGGCCCTGATGTCTGTGCTTATCAGAATCAGTTGGAGGAACTTATTGCAATAAGCTGGATTTAAGAGCTGGATGCAGCTGGGTAAAACAGGCAGCTCTGCTCTCTCCTCAGCCACTCCTGTTGCCTGATGAAAAGGGGGATTGAGACAAGCAAGAGATCTAGTGGTGGAAAACCACCAGCATGAGAGTGAAACCATGTTCTTGAGTTTTTCCATCCCAGTGGGGGTTGGAGGCTGGGTTGGGATGTTGGTGTCCAGGCTGTGGCAAGACACAGGCTGGAAAAGAGCTGTGTTTTAAAGCCCTCATGATGTAAGGCAGGTGCTGTGTGAGGAGAGGGCTCACTGAGTTACTCATACAGGGTGGCTGACTACAGCTGCCTTCAGAGTTAGGCTAATGCTGAGCCTGTTATAATATAGGGCACTTCCCATACCATGCTGCAATTATATAAACATAATCTTTTCCAGGTTGACTCATTCCAGCCTTAAATGTTATCTGGATCCTCCCAGACCATTATATGAACAGCCAAGTACAGGAGCTAAAGGACAGAACTGGTTAACACTCTTAATTATAACATGGTTAGGAATTTTTTGAGCACACATGGGTTTGGATGAAATGGAAACTGTGGGGAAGGTTACTTTTGATTACTTACTTTTTAACATGAAAAATGTTTAGACTAAAAAGCTGAGACGATCTTGATGGTGTATCAGCCCCAGTTTTGCTGTATTTCCTTATAACCCAGCTGTGGGTTCATGGTGGTGTTGAAGCTGATGCTCTTCGTTCCAATTCACCATAGCAACATTTTAACGAAACCTTATACTATGTTAGTAAATTGCTTTTTCTGCCAGATCTGCCAAATGTGTTCACATGAAATTATTGATGTTTCACAGAAATGTTCTCCTTGAAATTGTAGAAAGGGATGCTCAGGTGGAGATCATCTTAAACATTTACATGATTTGTAAAATGCAGCAATAAAATCCCATCTTGACACTATTCCAGACTGGAATTTGAGAGTTCCTGCAGACCTGTTATTTGTATGTGCTAGCTTTAGTCCTTTTGTGCCTCCAATGCTAAGGAAGGAATAGGTGTGTCTGGCTTTCTCCTTTTAAGTGATGAGGATTGTGCAACATTTCTGTAGTGCCAGTTCCCTTATGGGCATTTGTCACGATGGGAACAATACAGAGTGTTCCCAAAGCTGCATCAATGGGGCAAACAGGGCTGTGCTCCTCTTTCTTTTATGCATGAACTCACCAAATCCCCTTTCACAGCTCTGAGAAATCAATATTGCTGTGTCAATTCTAGAATAAATATTGTTTTGTTACTAGAAGCCATGATGCTTTTTACTCACTCTTTCAAATTTCTTACAAGTCCTGTCCTGAAGCTTGTTGCTCCAGGATGTTTTCCTGACCTTTTTTGTATTTTTCCTAATTAGCAACTGTGCCCTAGACATGGGAGGTGCCTTCTAGTTCAATACTTATTTTAGGAAACTTTACTTCACTCGAGTCTTTTGGCTTAGTGCCTCACCTCAGGGAAGAAAGAACTGGGAGAAAGAAGGGTGAAGACCCCTGGCCTTCCTTGTCTCTAATTATTAGTGTTATTTTCTCTTCCTGGCTTCTACATTTCTCTGCTTACCTAGGATCTTAGTTCCCAGACACCACACGAGCTGTATAATGTTAAAAGGAGAATCTGGGTTTCATATTTAGGTTTAAGTACCTGGGGTCACGTTAGGTTTCTCTTCTCTGGTACTCTGAAGACAGAATGCTGTTCTTTACCAGATCCATAAGGAGCCCAAATCGCTGGAGTTGTTTTGGGAGTTTTCTTTGGCAAAGGGCCATGCTGTGCATGCAGAGTCAAGCCTCTTTTCCCTTGTATATATGTGAAACATCAGCAGGATTGTGACTGATGGGAACCAGGTATGGAGATAGGTGGTTTTCTTGATCAAAAAATCAGTAAATAGAAGTCCAGGGATGGTAAACAGAGCTAAAGGACTGAAAGGTGCTATCTTCATGGACTGCTCTGCACTGATATTTCTGGGGTGATGGTAGCTGGGGATCAAGGTCTGGAGCACTTGATGTTATCAGGAAGGTAAGGGACACATCAGGAGCTGATGAGCTGATGGGGAGACAGGCTTTCCTGTGCAGCTGGCAGGACCTGTGGGGACCTGTAGGCTATCAGGGAAAATGTCTCTGCATTCCCATGAGGGTGAGTTGTGCCATCTCCAGGAGAAGAGTGGCTACTGGGATGTGTGCATCACCCTCTGCCCAATGGCCACTTCCACGAGGGACGGTCACTTGGCTTTGTGTGACCATCTTGGGCTCGAGAGGGTGGCGACAGCATCTCTTTGGTGCCCACTGGGCAAACTGCTGCTTCTTTAACAAAGGCCCTTTGTTGTTCTTGGGCATGTTTTACATTTCTTCTTGGAGATACATCAGGCACCTCCTTCCTGGTTTTCAAGTTTATTGTCTCAGCATTGTCCTGGCTTTGTGCCCCCAATAACTCTGCTTGCTGCTCTTCCAGTGATGTCAGGAAGAGGTTTTTTATTGACTTCAGTGGGAACTGGGTTAGATCAGCACTGACCACTTTTGAGGGGCCCGTGCAGAGAGCTCAGTCTAGATGGCATAGCAGGGGAGCCTCGTCTGCTCATCACAACCAGCTTTGTTCTCTGTCAGATTTAATTAACTCAGCCATACAATATTTTGCATTTTCTTCTTCTGAGGCAATGCAGAAGTCCTGTCTTTCTCCTGGACAGTGGGACTCCGCGTGCTGCTAATGAGGATTTACCAGCAACAACTTTATTGCCCTGGTGGAATGCCAGCTTGGCATAGCCCCATGAGTCATATTCAATGCTCTGTTCAGAGAACTGAAAGGACGACTGCTGCTATTAATTTTGTGCTCTTGTTTGCTGCCTTAGGAGAAAAACATCATTGCAAAAAGATCGGAGCTTCTTTGAGGCAAAAAAGTCACAAAGATAAACAGAGAGTGTGACTGAGTGTCAGCCCAGAGCGTGTCCCTCCCTTGCACATACACCTAAATGTTCCCTTCTGTTTTTGGTTCCCCCAGTAGTTTATTTGTAGGGCCGAGTGCATAGAATAAAATTTGACCTCCAGGGCCTAGGTGTCCCTGTAAAATACCATCTCTTTGCCCTTCAGCCCAAACCTTTTCCCCTTGGAGCCCTAAGCTGGGGAGTTTCAGTCCCTTGATGGCTCTTGGACTCCAGACAGTTCCCACCACAGCCTGAGGTCCCTCTGGGATGTCTGCTCTATGGATTTCTTCTCATCATTGGCCTCATTGTTTCATCTCTGTAGGTAAGAAATTTTACAGTCTTTCATTTCCACTGCCCTTGGTGACATTTCTAGGTGCCAATAAGCTCCTCTGGCCTGCCACATACAGCTCCAGCAGCCGTTTGTGAGACCTGCCACGGTGACATTTCTAGGTGCCAATAAGCTCCTCTGGCCTGCCAGCAGCCATTTGTGAGACCTGCCATGTAGCAGGGCTTCAGCAAAATCAGTCCAGAATATCTGGGCCCAAATTATACTTTGTACTTGGTAAACTGGGAAGCTTTTCCTAGAAAGAGTGGAACTGTGGGTTTAGTTCCAAGGATACCCAGCAGTCCCAGTGATGCCATCTTTTCAAGAACAGACTTGGTAGAGATCAGATTCATAGGGAGTTGATTCAGTTTATGCCAGGGATGACAAATGTTACATAGGAATGAAAAGCCAGATTTTGTTTGTTTTTTTTTTTTTTTAATCAGCAAGCAGACACTTGGAGGCGAGATGCAATGAGCTGGTGTTTGGTAGTGATATTTTCTCTGATAATAATGCTGTCATTCAGGGTGGGGATCATCTTGTCTGCCTGCAGCTGCCTAAACACTCTCTGTCCAGTCAGACCATGCCTTCAGCTGCCTCAACAGCCACTGTGGAATAAAGAAGCTCAGCCAGAGGGTGAATTGTTGCCTCTTGAGAGATGTGTGTGTGATAGGAACCCCCACAGAGTGACTCATCCCATCAGTCTCTTTCCATTGATTATTGAGGGATACTGAGTGGTGATCTCAGGTTAGACTAGCCAAGATTATGTCAAACTGGTCGGAGTTGAGCAAGGTGGAATCCATCTGAGCTCACTCTGTTTCTAGCTTCATCTGTCTGCATACCTTTAAAAAAACAGTGCTTTCAAATCTTCACTGGTCCATGCGTGGATTTGGTAGTGCTATAAGGAAGGATAAAATCTAAATCTTTCTCACTGGGAGAGGGGCCACTGGACTGAGGATTTGGTCTGCACAGGAGAAGCAGGAGAGTAGGTTCTGAGAGACTTGAGAGAGCCTGAAGCTTGCAGACATTGTTCTCTTGGTTATCTGGTGGCAAAGCACCTACCACCAACTGTAGTGCTTGTTTAAAAATAATAAATTTTCTGTGGCAAGGAAATATGCCTTAATAAAGGCTTAAGCAGAAATGAATCAAAACTTCTGAAAATCAAAATGGGGTTTGTTTCCTTGCTCATGATTCATTCCAACTTCTTCAGTCTTCTTCACTTTTAGTTTTTAATGGGGTTCTGATCAGAAATTACTGATATACTTTATTGCAAAAAAGTAATTTTGTTACTACATTGTACTTTAAACATACAGTTTTGATGGTAATAGAAACAGAACCTTTTCTCCTGATTCATGATACACACAAAATATTTCAAGCCTGGGTATGCCACAGGAGAGGAATTCCATTTCCCATCCAGCTGTGGTTAACAGCAGTATCACTGCAGTACTTTTAAATGCAATAACTCAGGACTACTGAGTTATCAGTAAATCAGTTTTGCTCTGTATAGAAAGCTCCCTTTAAGACTTGACTCTTCTTTTGGCTGGAAATGAGAAATTAAGAATTGCCTTCATGAATGCTACAGCACTGCACATGGAAAACCTTTGGACATGTCTCCAGCACATGACCAGTGAGTCTGGTATTTCTTGAGAGTGTGAAATTTGCTGCACACGCTCCTGTAATTGTTCTGTGCATGCTCTGGGATCATCAGGTGCATCCCGAGCATCCTGGCTTTATACATTACACACAGAGTCATGTAATTGGTATGCAAAGGAACCAAACTCTCAGGGAGCTTCACTGGGATGTCTGCAATCCATGCTGTGTGCATGCTCACTCCAGACAGGAACACAAGGGGTTTTCAAGGTGCTGAGGGTACAAGCATGGTT